CGCTTCGCACATTCCTGACTCCGTCACATATTCTTATTTATATACTGAAAAATGTCAAGTGTATACATTCAGGGCGATCGCTCCGGAGAAATAAGCTGCACAAGCTAAACATTGGACAATTTACGTTTCATATACAGTTCAAAAAGTAATCCCTGCTGCAGACATGTTTTTTAAGACAACACTGGTTTTCAGTCAAACGACACAACACTGGTTTTCAGTTAAACGACACAACTGAGGGAAATAATACAAATTTGTCAGTGCACAACACACGGTCACCACTCTGCCCAAGATTGGGCGCTCGTCATCTGATTTTGTGATTAGGTAGTCAATTGGACATGTCGCCCCAAGCATTGCAAATCTCTGGCTCATAGTACCAATAACACTCTAGAGATGTATCCTCACGTTGGCAATCGTGCGAGTTTGTTCAACCTAAACTCTCGGGGGCGGGGCACTCCTATTGTACTGGTACTGGTTACGTGCACAGGTACTGGGGCCGTGCCGCTGGACAGAGTATATTTTCCGAACATCATTATTGGCACAGGTGTAACGCCCCTATATATACGGGTACAGGGGGCTAAAATGATAAAAGATGAGAAGAACACAATTAGTTGGTTGTGAAAATGGCGTCAGCATGTGGAATGGCCACAATTTATTACTCTCATAATTGTCACCATAACCAAAACATTCATAATTATAAAGAGTAATAAATGTACAAACAGTAGGTATCACAGTAAAGCACATTGTTGCGGGTCCTGCTGCACCGCGAGTGACAACAAGCTTCCCTTTCAACAGGCGAAATTCGCACCAAGATTATTATTTTAATGGGAAAATTATATACCATTTGTGAAAGCTGAATGTATAGACTCTTGATTTATGATATTTTCAATAAAATATACCATTCATTCACAGAGGTATTAGACCCTGAACACTCTGCTAGCTGGGCATTTATTACGTCTTTCGCCAGCCATTGTGAAAAGCCATCGTTGCAAGGGGATATAGCTCTAGTCCCAGACGCTTTTACGCCGATGTATTAATCATTTAGAAAACATAACAGTCACACAAAGCAGGTTTTTAGCTTTAATTTCATGTGAAATATGTTGAGGTAGGTAATAAAATATTCCTCTAAAATTACGGTTAAGAATTTTAATCGGTTAATTTTCATCGAGACGTCGAACTATTTTTCGTGATTTTCATATCAAAATGGAGAGAATTTAACCATAGATATAAGGCGCGTTCACACGGACGTTTTTGGCCCGAACCTAATTAGGCCTGCGCCAGACCCATAACCCTAACTCCAACACCTCCAATGCTAACCTTAGCACTAAATATATATATGTCGGAGTGCTATATATAGGCGGTGTGATCCACAAAAATTAATCTACGGTGTGGGGACAGATATCATGATGCAAAAACTCTAACCCTAACCCTAACCCTAACCCTAACCCTAACCTAATACTAATACTAATACTAATACTAATAATATTAATCCTAATACTAGTGCTGCCACGTTGCGGTGTCCCTCCACGCCCGGGAGATAGCATTACCCTAAGTAACCGCTGTGCGCGTCTATTTTTTCCGTACCGCAAATGCGCAAAGGGTTCCTCTGATAGGCTGCTTTGATTTGCTCTGACGTGATAAACCTTCAAAACAAGAGAACAAACGCCCATTTGTAAATATTTGTTTTAGTTCATCATCAGACGATTATAAGTAAGTTTAAAACACACATTTTACTCATTAATATAGAATATAATATCACTATAATTACAATTCTTTGTGTAACTGTGTTATTTTCATCTTAATCTTAAGTTATGAGAGGGTTTGGGCTCTCGTAAGACGGACGTCTCGTAACACTTACTACATACGTAGGTATACGTACTCGTACGAGTACCTCTCTCTCTCTCTTCTCTCTCTTATATATATATATAATATATATAATATTTTATATGCAAAAGGCTCCATATTCACTTAACCAGCATAGCACTACCGGCTCGCGGAGCCTCCTTTCTCGCCTACACTCAATATCCGCCTAACATATCCGACCAGCCGGGTCGCTGCGATTCCTATTCAAACGCAGGGGGCCGTTACTTTTTTCCGTACCGCAAATGCGCCAAGGGTTCCTCTGATTGGCTGCTTTGTTTGCTATGAGCGATACC